AGACATGGGAGCATGTGTGGGAGGAGTGTGGGAGATGGGGGGCGAGGGGAAGCTGGCAGGAGATGGTGGAGTCGGTGCTGGGGGAGGAGGGAGAGGGGGAGGAGTGGTTGAGGAGGTTGGAGAGATTTAGAGAGGGGGAGGCTGAGGATGGGGGGAGGGAGGTTGGGGGGAGGGGGGAAAGGAATGAGTGAAGGGGGGAGAGTGAGTGATTGGAAGTGTGAAAGAGAAAGTATAAGAGCGGAATGAAGAATTAGTAACGGTGGAAAAGCATGTGACGTGAAAGTCTACGACGGAAGCGGAGGTCCAGGGCGCGTGTGTGTGTGTGTACATAGAGGCGAGCGATATAGGTTTAAGGTTAGGTTAGGTAATATATTGTAATGTAGTGGTAAGCGGAGAGAAGGAGCATGTAAGAGATGGTGTAAGACTGTAACCCTAAGGGGATCAATAAATTCATTCATTCATTCATAAAAGAGCGGAGAAGACCGCCCGCGACAGATTTTAAGACCTCGATCTCTCACCCGCAACGTACGTACCCGTCGCGCATCTCGCGCATACTATAAGAATTCGGGAGTTATAATAAAACTCAACGGTACGGGGTATAATAAAGCCTCTTTTATGTAAAACGTGGCTACATTCTTTTATCGTGTATCCTTCCCACCGCCACACACTCTGCCGCGCCCACAACATAGATCTCGAAATTTCTCGCTCGCGCCCAGCAACGAAGGGCGCGACAATATAAACATAAATATATATGTACATAAATATAAATTTTTGCTTTTCATCTCCCACACATTCGTATAGACCAGTGCTAACACAACAATGATAAACATGCTAAATAATACCCATATAGTACAAAACATTGAAAGAACGTTGCTGAGACGTTGATGCAACATTGAAGATAGAACTGTGGATGAAATTTTCTGTATGAAATTTATGTTGATTTTTCAACATTAATAACCAGATACAACTGCAATATTGAATATATATTGAACAAAAACTACAATATTTTGCAATGTTGTAACTATATTTAAGGAACATTGAAAATTATATTATTGATATATAAAAATAATAATAATAAAATAAATTGTTATTAAATTTTATTATATTAATATATGTTATATATATATATATATATATATATGTTATATTAATATATATTATATTATTATATTGATATATAAAAATAATAATAATAAAATAAATTGTTATTAAATTTTATTATATTAATATATGTATTATTTATATTATATTACAATATACAATAATCATATATATTTTTCTTATTGTTTATATATAAAATTGAAATGCGTTTAAACAATTTTGCGCATACTATGAAGAATATTCTTGTATTTCAAAATATTCTCTATTATACAGAGTCTGATGCAAACTGTATCGATAACAAAAAATGCATAAAAAACATTAAACTGAGAAGAATGATCGAAA